ATGCATCTTTCCAAGTTCTCGCGGAGGATTCAGTCTCATTTTGCACATTTGGAGAGTAATGCAGCGAGGCCCCATGTCATATATGCTTCTAAAAACCGTTCAGTCAGAGCTGCTGCTGCCTTCTCCTTTTTTGTTCTTCTGCACCACTTCACTAGAATGTTTGTCTTTCTCTTTTCCTGCTTTTCAGTCTGTCAGTACCTGAACTGAACATCATGTTCATGAATGACTGCCTCTCTCATTCCAACACACACATTCTTCTTCTCTCTCTCTCTCTCTCTCTCTCTCTCTCTCTCTCTCTATCTCTCTCTCTCTCTCTCTCTGACGCACACACATGACAATATGTGCACACAAAGACACAAAAAAAAACTGGCTGTTCCGCAGCCAGCTGTACCAGTGAAATATGAAACAGGTGCCATCATGCTTGTCATGACAAGAAATACTTGAAGAGAACGAACAGGCCTTTCAAGCTACACAGCCGGTGGGCATGACCATCACCAGTTTCCCATCCTGAACAGAGAAGGCATAGGCATCCATTATGATCGTATTTTTGGCATGTAAGGGCAAATGCTAAATAACAATGAAACGGCATCGTGCTTCCATGACACTGCAAAAGTTTCTCAAAGTTTCGCTGAGCTTTCACTCCGCGCAGAATGACTGATCAGTGATCTCCCTGACGCCCGCCAGATCCTCCTCTTGTCAGGGACCCTTTTTTTCTTTTTTCTTTTTTTCTTTTTTTTTAAGCGCAAACAGCCTCGGATGCAGCTTGAGGGGTCACTTCTTCTCAGCAGCACACTGGGTTCAAATTCCGTTCAACGGATACCCTTCCACACACAACTAGAGCCTTTTCTTTTTTTTTCTTGGGACAACTGCTCCAATGAGTCCAATCTATTGGTGGGGAGCAGCAGGTGCTGGAAACAAACTGGGTCCAGCGTCCCATCTGAACATTTACAAAACATGTGAGATACCGGGGTCAAGTCCCACTAGCACCGTTTAGTTTCTTCAACGCCTGAATCTGGACGTGTTTGTAGCTATGTGTGGTTGAGGAAACTCAACGCAATTTCTGCACATCTCCACAAACACGTCCACATTCAGGCATTGATGAAACTCAACACTGCTGGTGGGACTTGGCCCCGGGGCCATTACCCGGCTAAGAGTATTCAGGAAAATTTAGAAAAGACCAAGAGTACCTGCTACAACAGCCTATCCCCATGGGTTCATCACTTTTTTTGCCCAGGGAAACGCAGAGGGGCGTCTCCAATACAGTCATAATTAAATCAACTTTACTTCTATTTTTTAATACTGCCTATACAGGCATAATTCCTATTGCACTCCTGCCAGTACTCAGCCCATTTGGCTGAACGGTACACTACTGCACGCATGTAACTGTAATTTGTAAATGACAAGGTCATTAGCTCAAATCCTGAAGGACTCAAATGAATTGTACGATAAGGTTGGCAACTTGGCAGCTACCCCCTTTAAAAAGAGGAAAGAGGTATCACAACCTCCAGAAAGGATGGTAGATCTCATCTCACACAGCCTGAATATCATCCGCTGAAGCAACCAATGGGCCTAGCTCAGTTCCCCCCCCCCACAGAATATACAGGGGCTGTGTCTTTTCTGGGGGGGGGGGGGAACAAAAGCCGTGAGCTGGAATCCAGATGGAACTAACTGAGTGAATTTCTTGAATTACCTGGGGCCGGTCGGTTCTATCATCTATGATGATATCTCAAGGCCGTCGCCCTTTTGAAAAAAGAAAGAGAAGAAGCATCTGTGAGGAACAAGCCCTCAAGGGGCCCTATCAGACATCACATGTTCTGGGCTAAGGACCCCAGCAAGCCGAGTGCCCGCCCTAAGTGAAGGCAGGCCTGAATATTCGTCAGAGGCCAAAATTCGACATTTTCATATGTGGGTATTCAGGCTCTTGCAGCACCCCAGTTGGTTGGGTAGACGCGTGAGCCTCACTAAGCTGCGTCATACAGTTGGCCCAGGCCCAGACAGTTGCGCCTGGGCACATACACACAAAGCAGGGCCGATACATTGGGAAGCAGACCATCGGCCTTTGGAAAAGCAGCACTGCCGACGCACCTGCCTGGGAGCCCTGCACAGATGCAGCAAACAACCCAAGTCCGGAGACTCAGGCCGTGGCCAACTGAAAAAGGCCCAGGCCCTCAACTGTAGTCTCGGGCCTGGACGCAGGGTCTGATGCCCAACCGGAAGCTACTGGAAGCTTCCAGCCAGGCCACACACAGCGTCCAGGAGGCTGCCACTTCCATAAAAGAAGTGAGGCAGCCCAGGCCAGGCATTCTGGCCAGTGCAGGCAATACGGAAGTGCTGCTGCGCTATCGCTTGATGCTGTGCAGCTGCCAAGGGCGCTGACGGGGCGCGTAGCGGTGAGGTGGGGCGCTGCAGGGCAGCGGGGCGCAGGCAGCCATAGCCGGGCTGCTGGGCGCCAGGGGGTACAGCGGGGCGATCAGGTGGTCTTCAGGAAAGAAGGAGAAGTGTGGGGTAATCAAGGTCTGACTGAGGGTGACGAGATACGTACCTGGTACATGAAGAGAGGTCGGCTATGGTGTTGACAGTCATGTGCATTGGTCTTCGAGAGTCGAAGTGAGCCTGTTGCGTGAACCAGTGTAGGTAGGATAGTCGGGTAGAGTAGGCTGGGCGCTGGGCGCCAGACAGAAGGGGCGACGCTGGGCGCCAGACAGAAGGGGCGACTTTGGATACTGTGTTGGTGTGGCCTACGGGCTTGAACATTGGCTCATTACTTCATTGTATTGCTCTATATGGATGGTATCTCAGGGCATTTTGTACTCTCTGCTTTGACACGACTACCTGGACATCTGTGTGATTTCGCAACTTGTTTTTTTGTATATCGTTCACACTCATATTCCTTGCAATTTGGTATCGGAGCTGGTTCGTGATCGCCTCTTACCTGGCACCGGCGACATTGTTACTTGGTGCGCTGACGATGCTTCATGTGCAGTAAGGATACTTTGGCGCTGGTTTGAATTAGCGGGGCCTAGGTGGAGAGGCCGGCCGCTGGAAGGCTGTGGCGACAGCGTGGGAGCTGTGGCGACAGCAGGTTTATGTATGATGATGAGAGTATGCTGACGTGGCATTTTGGCTGAGGTGGCACTGCGTTGCGTTGTGGGTGGTAAAAAGGCTATTGACCGGTCATCGAAATGCACGTCGGCCCAATTGGTGAGAAATCTCTGGTTGGGGGCAGCTATCTCCAGGTACGTTGTTCCCATTCCTTATCTACCCTCTCAATCTCTTCTTACCGTGAGGAAGTGAGTCCAACTTGAGTGTCCTCTCTTTGGTGAGGAGTCGTGTGCGCTCTACCTTGAGAGACGAAATTCTTCCCGGTGGCGCATCATGCAGGAGAGGGCCGTGCCTCTGAAGGGCCCTGGTCGAAGCACGGGTCACGGTCACCACGCCAACCCATGGGTAGTAGTACATGCAAGCCATGCTGCTTTGTCCATTGAGGCTCTTTGCTGCGCTGATAGAAGGGGTGTGCGGACTGACCAGTCCTACATAGACGCTCCCAGACCGTCTATAAACATTTCTGGTTGGGGTCTGAACTGTCCGCTGGTTGTGATCGTTGTCCTGATTGCGACGTTAAAGAATTCCTGAGGACTATCGGGGGCTGTCCTTAAATTGCCTCTTGATCAGCCAGATCAGTCAGACGTAAGGCTCGTTGCACGCGAGGGTAAACGAAGGGCAGGACTGGTCATAAGCATACTTCTTGGGCACAGGGGTGGGCCGTGGTTGCACACCTTAGACATTGCCGCTTGATGATGCTCATAGGTACGTTGGATACAGGGGAAGGGGATTCCAATTGTGAACTCAACTGAACATCACTGCTTTACCCCTTGTGCATACATCTGCTCACAGTAGCCTATTTTTATTTTTGATTAGTTGGGTGACAGACTGCTGACACCTAACAGACAGCCTAGAGTAGGACAAAAATCTACCATAGTCAGTTCTCCTCAAAACTTCTGAATAGAGCTAATCATAATAGAAGTAGACTATATGTGTACATTTTGTGTAGGTGTTGTTGATGCCGCTTGTTAGATAGCCTAGGTAACACGCCAGACAGTAAATTGTTTTAATTATTTTTAGAACCGGTCAGACGCATGCTGCGATAGGTCCCAAAGAGGACATTAGTGCAGACAACGTCTGCCTAACCCATGAGTGGATCACAGGGTGGGGAAGATACATCTGACGATAGGAGGCAGACACGAAGGGATACCGGTAGGATACCCTTAGTGTTCCAGGTCCAACTACCAGGAGACGAAAGGAGACTAAGGGCCGAAGCTAGGGCCTGTAATCTAGAGACTGCGAGAGAAATAACAAGAGTTGTAGAACGGGCGTTGGCAGCAGCAGCAGCGAGCGCGGTAGCAATGGCTACCTCTGCAGCAACATCTGCTGCGACTTCAACTGGTCAACAGACCAGCTCGCATGTTATCTCTAGTATGCCAGGGGCTGGCACTAGTCAGATGGCGGGCTCGTAGTACAGCTCGCCGCCTCCACGCACCCGGGAGCCGATGGAGCTCCAACAAGTAGAAAGGATTCGCTTAAGGCTAGAGGAGGAACTTAAACAGACTACTAAAAGAGAGCAAGAGATTAGAGATAGGAGTGTGAGACTGGAGGGTAGGGAGGCAGGCAAGGCTGCACTAGAGGGGTTAGATGACTCGACCCTTAAAAAACTGAAAAGATTTTTAAGGCGAGCATCCTGTCCATGCACGCATACATGGACAGTAAACTGGATACAATCCAGGACACCTTGGACCAGATCCTGAACGCCATGCACAGGCCAGGAATCAGGCCAGCAGTCTTGCCATCACTGCCATTCACAGCGATGACAGGCCCCTATGCCGCTCAGTCCGGACCATCACCAAGTGGTATATCAGCAGCAGCCCTATCTCAGACTGTTGCTTCTTCATCTTCTGGTCCAACGATTGGAGTTACACCACAGTCGCCACTTGTCCCGCCAGCGGGACAACAATTACCTTGGTACCCAAGACCCCCATGAAACCACCTCTAACCTTCTCAGGAGACAAGAAGGATGAGGCTCTCGACACGTGGTTGAGAACGGTGCCAGTGTGGGTGAGGGCAAAGAGGACATTGGTAAAGGAGGAAGTGATTACTGCTGCATCCTACTTAATAGAAGGTTCGTCAACTTGCTGGCTAAGTGGATTGGTAGCTTCAAATGGGTTCGGGAGGAACATGGGTGATTGGGCGCAGACCCACACCTTAGAAAGCTTTCTGGATTTAGTGGAAGCACGATGGCACAACCCTCAACAGGCACAGATTGCCACTGATGGGCTATTAAAGCTTGATGCTAGGAAGTACAAGTCAGTGCGAGAGCTTACCACGACCGTAGAGCGCATGATTGTTGTCCCAGGAGTGGAGTACAATCCACAGGTCTTATTGACCATGTTCTTAAGATGTCTTCCCACAGACATCAAGAACTTACTGGCCAGCGAGGCTCGGTTACAGTATCACACCTTTGAGACATTCGGTAAGAAGGCCCTAGACTTAGAGGCTACGCTGGGTGGTGCCCAAACCCCCTCTACGGACAGAAGAAAGAAGAAGGCTCCACAAGAGTGGAAGAAAAAAGGCAGTCGATTGATGATGGTTGATTCCGATGGGAATCAAACTGCGATCGATGATGTTTCTGAACTTGTGAAGAGTGCAGAGTTGGACGGCGAGGAGAGTGCTAAGGGTAACAACCTCGCCGCAACAGTTAAGACTAAGGCAGGTGGCCGCGGCAAGGGCGGTCAGCAAAGGAGTCATGGGCAAGCCGCCAACCCAAACAAAATAGTTGCTTGGGTGAGGGCCGGTTTGGATCAGGAAGTGTGGCGAGACCATTGGTCGCGTGGTGCTTGCATAAACTGCAGCGAGTACGTCCATACGCAGTTTAAATGCAAGAACCCGAAGGTCTTGCAGAAGATCCCTCCTAAGGGTGGGTATCCTTCTTCTTAGTCTGGGGCCTCTACGAGCTCCAACTCGAGAAACACTTAGGGATGGTAGAAGTTGTAGCTGCTTCTACTCTCGTTGAAGCGGGTGATGTACCCTCCCCATTTTAAGAGTTGGCCAAAGTTATTGACTCGTTAGTCACCCTGCAGACGCATCCGGACCCAACTATACTTTGTACGTTGGATGTGTCTGAAGCCTTAGAAGACCTTCAAGGTGAGTGGTCGGCAATGGATCCTCATGAGCCCTGGGTGGCACGAAGTAGAGGTCCTAGAGGGGAGCACTTCGTTGTGGAAGTTGGTGTGGGTGGTCACAAGTGTGGCGCCTTCGTAGACATTGGCTCCACGCGAAACTTCATAAGTCGCGACTGCGTTGATAGACTGCGCCTAAAGGACCGGGTGCAGCGCCTGAGTAGACCGGTAGCATCTACTTTGGCCAACAAAGAGCACACGATGGTGGAGGACTACGTTAAAGACGTGGTCTGCACGTTCTCCTACCTAGGAGGAGAGATAAACCATAAGATATCATTCCTGGTGAGCGACGATTTGCCCTTTGACATGTTGTTGGGCATGTACTACATCGAGGTTGTCAAGCCCCAGTTTGACTGGGACAAGGTGTTGGAGCACGAGTTGCCTAATGGGAGGACCGTTAGACTGGCTAAGTATAAAGTCAGTAGGTTAATAGACTCCTACGGGTGCTTATGCACATCTGCCTTCTATAACTATTATAAACAGAACCAAGAGGAAGGAATGTACTTAGTCTATGTCTCTGCCAAAGGGGAGGCCGTTAAAACACCCCCAGAGATAGAGATCATCGTCGCTAAGTACCCTGGTTTGTTTGAGGAGCCTACAGGAGTCGTAGACAGGGAGGTTGTCCATGTCATAGAGATCATCCCAGATAGCAAGACACGTAAGGGAAATATCTATAGGATAGCTCCGGCTGAGTTGGACGAGCTTTGACGACAACTGAAAGAGCTGACAGAGAAGGGGTGGATTTGGCCTAGCACCTCCGCTTTTGGCTCACCAGTTTTATTTGTTCCAAAAAAAGGGGGAACACTAAGGATGTGCATTGATTATAGAGGCCTCAATGCCATCACCGTTAAGAACACAGAACCTCTACCACGCATCGACGACCTATTGGATAGGGTGTAGGGGTGTAAGTATTATACCAAGATAGACTTAAAATCTGGCTACCATCAGATTGCCATAAGACCAGAGGACCAGCACAAAACCGCATTCCAGACCAGGTATGGTCTGTACGAGTTTGTGGTGATGCCCTTTGGCCTTTGCAATGCGACGGGTGCATTCCAGCATGCCATGAATAGGATGTTCCATGACTACTTAGATAAGTTCGTTGTCGTGTACCTCGACGACATACTTATCTTTAGTAGAACTATCGAGGAGCATGCTCAGCATGTAGACAAAGTACTTTCATTCCTTCGGCAGCACAAGTATAAGATATAAACGCAGAGAAATGCGAGTTCGGTCGCACTCGAATCTTGTACTTGGGTCATGAAGTATCCGCAAATGGGATTATGCCCGAAGATGCAAAGGTGGCTAGCATACGTGACTGGCCACGACCCCAGTCTGTGATTGAGGTCAGATCATTCTTGGGAATGTGTGGTTATTACCACAATTTCGTAAAGAATTATAGCACGATCACATCTCCCTTGACTGATCTAACTCGACTTGACACACCATGGGATTGGATCGACAAGTGTGAGGCAGATTTAAAGTGTTTGAAGCATGCTCTCACACACCATGAAGTTCTCATGGTGCCCGACCCGCAGAGGTCATTCGTTGTTACCACTGATGCAAGCCAATATGGCATTGGCGCTGTGCTGGCTCAGCAGGAAGGGAAAAAGTTGAGACCGGTCGAGTACATGAGTAAAAAGATGCCATCAAAGAAGTTGTCAAAGTCCACCTACGAGAGGGAACTCTATGCTCTCTACAAGGCACCTGTCCGCTAAAGGCACTATCTATTAGGAAGGTTATTTTACTTGAGAACCGACCATCAGACCCTCAAGTGGATCAAGACCCAACCAGTTCTCTCCGATGCACTCAAACGCTGGATTGAAGTCATAGATCAGTATGACTTCAAACTAGACTATGTGAAGGGAGAGTACAACAAGGTTGCGGACGCGTTGTCTAGAAGGGCAGATTACCTAGGTGCGCTGATTTCTAAGTTTGGCTTATCCGAGGACGTGACTCGATCCTTGGGGGAAGCCTACAAGGAAGATCCCGTCATGATGGACATTATCAACAAACTGCAGGCTAAAGACAAGGCCACTATTGACAAGTTTGTGATGGTGGATGGGTTACTCTTTCTTGAAATGGGGTTTGACAGGTTAGTTGTTCCATCTAGGGAAATTTTGCGCAGTTTATTTTTAGGTGAGTGCCACGACGCAACAAGACATTTCGGCTACAAGAAAACTAGTGCTAACTTAGTACAGTGATTCTGGTGGCCTAACATGCTGGACGATCCAAAGAAGTACGTACAGACCTGTCAGGTCTGTCGGCGGGACAAGCCGCGGACTCAAGCTCCGCTTGAGTTACTCAAGCCTCTACCCATTCCTGCCGGCCCAGGGCAGAGTATCTCCATGGACGTCATGGATACTCTCGTGACCAGCAAGAATGGCAAAAGGCATATCTTCGTCATAGTAGATAGGTTTACCGAGTATGCTAGACTAATTGTCATGCCAGAGACTGCCAGGACTGAGCACGTCATTAAGTTGTTCATGTACAACTGGGTGCGTGACTTTGGACTGCCTAAGACAATCGTTAGTGATAGAGATGTGCGATTCACTAGCGAGATGTGGAAGAAGGCCGCTGAACAGATAGGCAGCCAGCTTCAGATGACTTCTAGGAATCATCCCGAAGCAAATCGACAGGCTGAACAGATGAACCGTGTGGTGCAGCATCTGTTGAGGCATTACATCAAGCCCAACCAGGATGATTGGGATGAGAAACTACCTCTCATCGCCAGTCTGTACAACAATGTTGTTCACAGCACCACCGGTGTCAGTCCTAATCAACTACATCTGGGATGGAAGCCTAGATTTGCTCTAGACTTCATCCTGCCTGAAAACCGAACTTCTGCAACTCCCGGAACCATTGAATTTGGTGTCCAGTATGAGAAATTGTTGCAGCAGACTGTCGAACACATCAAGAAATCTCAAGAAGCTATGATTGCTTTTGAGAACAAACGTCGCCGACAGTCCACATTCCATGTAGGGGAACGTGTCTGGGTCAAGGCTAGTGAGTTGGGACTGGAGTTTGGCATCTCAAGGAAACTAATGCCTCAATATTTCGGTCCATGGGAAGTCTTAGACATTGTGGGGAGTGATTTGGATGGTCTCGTACGTCATTCGTATCCCTGGTCACCTACGCACATATCCTATTTTTCACGCCTCCAAGCTTGCACCTTTCACTGAGACAGCACAGTTCCCATCACGGAGATCTATGCTGCCCCCAACCATGGATGGCCACGTGGACGTCAACGGCCTTCTGGATCACAGAGACACGCCTGTTCCCAAGCCACCTGGCAGGGGAAGACCTCCTAAACCGGCAAGGGAGTACAGAATGCATTTCAGGCATCATACAGATCCTAAGGAAGATCGATGGAGTTCAAGGAAGGAACTTGTCAAGACAGCTCCTCAGATCGTGGCAGATTATGAGAAGAAATTGAAGGGGAAGGCACCAGCATGAAGCATCTCAGCGGACTTTCGAAGCTAAGGGGGATGGAATGTGAGGAACAAGCCCTCAAGGGGCCCTATCAGACATCACATGTTCTGGGCTAAGGCCCCCAGCAAGCCGAGTGCCCGCCCTAAGTGAAGGCGGGCCTGAATATTCGTCAGAGGCCAAAACTCGACATTTTCATATGTGGGTATTCAGGCTCTTGCAGCGCACCAGTTGGTTGGGTAGATGCCTGAGCCTCACTAAGCTGCATCATACAGTTGGCCCAGGACTAGACAGTTGAGCCTGGGCACATACACACAAAGCAGGGCCGATACATTGGGAAGCAGACCATTGGCCTTTGGAAAAGCAGTACTGCCGACGCACCTGCCTGAGAGCCCTGCACAGATGCAGCAAACAACCCAAGTCCGGAGACTCCGGCCGTGCCCAACTGACAAGGGACCAGGCCCTCAACTGTAGTCTTGGGCCTGCACGCAGGGTCTGAGGCCCAACCAGAAGTTACTGGAAGCTTCCAGCCAGGCCACACGCAGCACGCAGGAGGCTGCCACTTCCATAAAAGAAGTGAGGCAGCCCATGCCAGGCATTCTGGCCAGCTATGCGGAAGTGCTGCTGCGCTATCACTTGATGCTGCGCTGCTGCCAAGGGCACTGACGCGGCGCGTAGTGGTGAGGTGGGGCGCTGCAGGGCAGCGGGGCGCAGGCAGTCATAGCCGGGCTGCTGGGCGCCAGGGGGTACAGCGGGGCGATCAGGTGGTCTTCAGGAAAGGAAAAGTGTGGGGTAATCAAGGTCTGACTGAGGGTGACGAGATACGTACCTGGTACATGAAGAGAGGTCAGCTATGGTGTTGACAGTCATGTGCGTTGGTCTTCGAGAGTCGAAGTGAGCCTGTTGCGTGAACCAGCTGTAGGTAGGATAGTCGGGCAGAGTACGCTGGGCGCTGGGCGCCAGTCAAAGAGGGGCAACTTTGGATACTGTGTTGGTGTGGCCTACGGGCTTGAACATTGGCTCAGTACTTCATTGTATTGCTCTATATGGATGTAATCTCGGCGCATTTTGTACTGTCTACTTTGACACGACTACCTGGACATCTGTGTGATTTCACAAGTTGGTTTTCTGTATATCGTTCACACTCATATTCCTTGCGCATCCATTGAAGTACTTCACTCCCAGCCTCAACACCATCCACTGATTTGCATGCCTGCTTCCTTTTTTCTTTTCCAAATCTCTTTTGTGTGGGGTCCCACTTACCGAGGCAATAAGAGCATCCTCTCCCTAAGTGGTCCCGGTTGTTGAAGGTTCCGTCTATTGGTGGGGAGCGGCACCTGCTGAAAATTGGGTCCAGCATCCCTTTATGATACAACAATGAAGAAATTTGTTTGTTTGGGGGGTGCAAGAGCCCTTTAAAGAGCTTTGACGAGGGGTTATGAAGATTCCATGCCTGTTGATGACCGTGACAGCAAGAGCTGACATGCATATGACTGAGTAAACAGGTCAGGACGGGAAAGAAGCCCTGGGGCCAAGTCCCACTTACGCTGATTCTTCATTTCTGGCCGTTGATCTTTGAAATTTAGGGTAAGAAGCTGAGAATTGGGGTAAGGGGGACTTTGGCCCTGCTCATCTCCAGATGGGTGTGGGAGCTTGGCTGAGGGAGTTGTAGTGAAAGAGTTTTCGCGGGAATTTTTGGCTGAGGGAGTTTTTTGCTGAGAGAGGTTTGCTACAACATCTACGAATTTACTACAAATTCAGGGACAACTGAAGTTGGTTTTGTTACATCTTGTTAACTGTTGGTATTTCGTTTGTTACATTGTGAACGGATTTGTTTTTCAATTTTGACTCGAGTAGATAAAGAATCACAAGTTATACTCAAAAGTAATGTAGTCGGAGTTTTACTTCTCACGAACATATACTTCATCCTACCTCCAAAGTAGGAGAGAAATACTTAAAAAAATATGTCAAGAATAATTAAAAACTGTCGAAAGATATCAAACGTGTGACCATGGTGTCGGCACCAATTTTGTTGCTTAGCCATCCCGACTATCCACGCGGTACTCCACTCGCCCAGATGCCAGATATTGAATCGACATTTCCACCTGTGTCCCTGGTCGAAGACTTGCAGTTGTCCTTGTCGTTTCTTTCAGCCACTGGGCGGCTCGGTGGTCCAGATGGTCAGGTAGATCGTCGTACCCTTTCCCCCCCTTTTTTTTTCATCACATCGCAGGCAGAACTTGGCCTCCGAGTGGCTGGTCGTTTCAGCTGTTCATCCCTTTGCCCCCGTGCAGCCTGAACACAGTCCTCAGAGATGCAGTTTTTCGAACAGTGCGGCCATCATAGGCCAGACCCTCCCTCCCTCCCTCCCTTTCTGCAACCCACTTCAAACTTTTCACAGAATAAACACTTGGTTACTCTAACCCACTCAACTCCGTGTAGGGTCATGAGAAGAACAAAAAGTAGAGCATCTGAGCTGGTATTTGCCTTTATTTTATACAAGAGGATGCCCACCGCGACTGCGGTGGGGACTAAGAGCAGGGGAACAAAAAAAAAAAAAAAAAAAGCTACGCCCACGGCATGCAGCGCGGCCCCRYGGAAATCAACTCTCTGAGTATGGTCACCACGGCCACGCCCACGGCAGACCTACTCTTCGCCCACTGCTCCCTCTGTGGTGCCTCCCTGCTGCTCCCCYCCCCCCCCCCCCCCTCTTCTCATCCCGTTCCTCCTCCCGCCGGTCCCTCTCTTGCTCCTCGCGTTGCCCCTCCCCCCGTCCACTGCCCTGGTCCTCACCCTCCCATCCCCCCCCTCCCGCTCATCCCGTTTGTCCCCACCGCCTTTTTCTGACACGGAAAAGCAACACGCGGGCCGCACGTGCTGTGCGCGTGCGGCGTCTGCGACAGACCCGAAAAAGAAAGTAGTTTTTTCTTTTGTTGAAGTAGTTTTTTTCCCCCTCGATTTGCAAATGTGATCCTTGCGCAGGAGCCATCCTAAACGAACTTTCCCTATGCAGGGCCTGCAAAACGACAAAAAAAAGGAAAACTCTTGCCATTTTCTGCCTGAGGATCCAGTCTCATTTTAGAACATCTGGAGAGCTGCGGAGCGAACGCTTGGTAACCTCCACGTGCGCAAAAGACAAAAAAGATGGCAATGTATTTCTCCGTGTTCTAGCAGTGGAAAGTAGTGCAGCGAGGCCCTCAGGCCAAAACGAAAACAGCGGGCGGGACAAAAGCAAACCTGCAAAACGACAGAAAAAAGAAAGAAAAGGAAAGAAACGAACAAAAGGAAACTGGCAAAACGACAAAAAAAAAAGAAACGAAACAAACGAACAAAAGGGAACCTGTGTATCTCCCCATGTTCCAGAGGAGAATTCAGTCCCATACGAACGACTCAACGGGCCCCCGCAGTTGAATCGCGAACCCGCCAACCCGCAACAACTGCGGCGCTCCCCGTTGGGCCCAAGGCTGCCTGTCCCGCGCCGTTCCCAACACTGGATGCCGGTTCTCGCGAGAGCGTTACGCGAGACCCGCTATTCCCTTAAAGATAGTAAGGGATATTGTTCTGATGCTCATAGCAATCTTTTGTTCCGCAGCCCCGAAGGACGTATATTGCTTGGTTGTTTTTAAACTTGTGTACTGATATCACTTCTTTCCCCAAATACTTCTACAGGATTTAAACTGTGTACTGATATCACTTCTACAGGATTCTCAGTCACGATGATTCTTGTTTCCAGATATTCAGCAACGTTGCTACCCCCGTCAGTCCTTTCCAGAATCAAGTCTTTGTGATAACAGTTCTTGATTCCTTCCAGTCTGTTCTCTGCTTGTTGACGAGCTCCAGGGTTACTATTCCTGTACCAGGTAACGAGCAACAACTCATCAATGAATCTTTGGCCTATTATCATATTCTTTTGTGAGCCCAGAGTTTCCAGGAAGCTATGTTCCCCCCTCATGCATACAAGGCAAGCAAGAGAGGGGCTTGCATGCCCCCCCATTGATATCCCTTTCATCTGCTGCAAGATTTCGTTCAGTGATCTGAAGAAACAGTTGTTAAGCAAGAAACCGGTTAGTGTCCTGAGGTCTGAAAACCGAACCGACTTCCATCCTCCTTGCCCACCAGCCTTTCCAATTCTTGCTCCCTTCCCTCTGATTTTTATCCTAGCCCAGTGTCGTCCTTTTTCCTTTTGCTCATGAAATATCCACCCTACTGCCCTCAAAACCTCATAGTAAACATTTCTTTAACGTCATAAGTTCTGAGCAAAGCTGAACAATCATCCCCAGTCTGTTTCAATTTTTTGTTAATTGTTTCAATGAAATTCAATCCCATTCTTCAACTTATTCGTTGCATCCAAATTGAAATGTCTCATTCGTGTTGTTTTAACGAGCAAATTAAGGACTTTTGTCAACATCCTTGAGGCCGACCTGATCGGGCTTGCTTATGACGGAGATATGGGGCGTTTCTTGTCTAGGTCCTTATCTTTGCTCATAATAAACGCATGCTGGATTGATCCATCCTTGTTCCATTTTGCAATGCGGTGCA